TTAAGTACACTTTTTGAGTATCCTTAATATAAAAGTAATTTCAAAGTGAACAACACAAAATTTACCATATTCACTCAACTGGTGATGTGGTAATGTGTAATCAGATTGTCAGTGTTCTCTGATAGGAAGACAATCAAGCTGTGATCCTGAGTACAAACAGAAATAGAAATTCATGTTAATATTAAAAATAAAATAAAATGCATGACACAGTAATGACAGTTAACATCTAAGATTTAAATGCTAAAATAAGTAAGCAGAATTTTCAATAAACATCAGTAGACTTTACTGTATGAATTCAGTATACACAAATTCTTATCAAAGATAAAGTTAATCAGTCAAGAGCAGTGAGTGATATTTTTCTGTTTTGTGTTGATTAACATTAATGACAATACACAGATTTAATATACAGACATTCAGTTTTCTGTTTACATTCACTTAGGACGTAAACGATTGTTTATGTAAACCTGTCCTTGTGTGTATTCGACAGTTTAAGAGCGATTACTCGCAAAGATCTTAGTTCAGCATTCGCGCTGTGTGACAGACTTTCTGTGCGTGTGCACAACACTGTCAGGACAGCACGCGAGTAAAATTATTTGAAGGTTAAAACTGGAATGGCTATAAAATGCTTGTCTACCGATATATACGCCCAGAACTACCGCTACAATGCTAACATATGATGTGTATGTATGTCGTGTCATGCAGTATGTTGTAACGGATGCACCAGAACTGCCACTGGTACAATGTCACTGTAGCACAATTACGATCAAAGGCAAACTGTGGGGAAATTTTATTTGTTCACGATCTAATATCGCACCATGTGTTTGGTGTGTGTCAGACGTCAATGTGACTGTGTGTCAATATAACTACTGTGGACCATCCTTTTTTTGCATAGACCAAACAATCTGCCACTCACCATTATTTAACATTCATCTCATAAAAGTAACTGTACAATGTGTATTTTTTTAGTCTCACAAAAGACTCCGGAGTGCACGCATATGTTTAACAGTGCTCATTCCATATGTAGTAAAGTGTCAAATAAAAAAAATCAGTAACTTGTATATTCAGGATGTATGATAAAGAAAAGCTCTACTTAAAGGGGTCATATGATGTGATTTCAATGTTTCCTTTCTCTTTGAAGCGTTACAAGCTCTTGGTGCATAAAGAAGATCTGTAAAGTTGCAAAGACTAAAGTCTCAAATCCAAAGAGATATTCTTTATAAAAGTTAAGAGTCAGCCACGCCTACCTAAAACTGATCATTCTAACACGCCCCCACATGTCTACGTCACGATGTCGTAAGATTTGCATAACGCCGCCCAAATGTTCACGCAAAAAAAGAAGGCGTAACTTTAATTCTTGCTGTTGCCGCCGCTGCCATGTTGTGGAGTCGCTGTGTGTTTCGTTGTGAAAGCGAAACTACTTTGGCCTTCCAAAAGAGGACACAACTAGAAATCAGTGGTTAAGTTGTATTTACAACACTGTTCCAGAACACTTCAACCCAAATATTCAGATGTGTGCAGCACATTTTAT